TGATCTCTGCCACAATCTATATCGTCTAGCAGAGATCAAGAAACTCTCGCGCCAACTGTTGCACCTCAATCGTCGGTGCAAACTCAACTTGGAACCTGGTCGAGAAATCATCCCATGACATAACATCAATAACATCATCGCCCAACTGACTACTAACCTCTTCCCATCAATCATGTTTCCAGTCCTTCAATAGGCAGGAAGCATATCTGACCTTCGCCTCCTCGGGGCAGAAACTCATCTTGAATGCATTAGCCATATCTGAAAACCACCTCTTACTGACAATGGGATCCTTCTCCACATGGAACGCAGGAGCTCCACAAGCACGAAACTCCCTAAATAAAAGAGTGCGGGCTCCAATAATATCCATAACCTCTGCACGAAATGCACCCAAGTGCTCATCCAAGATCTCTGAAAAATAGCGAGAAATCTCTAATGAGATGAACCCCGCAACCGCTCGTTAATCGGCTCAGCATCCGTGCCTAAGCCAGAACCCGAACTAAAACAAAAACCAGAACCAGAACCGCCTCCCTGAGAGCTCATCTCCAAACTAAAATACCATAAACCCACAATTAAATCGTATTCAAGAATCTCCCCTCTAAGTTTCTTAGATTCTCATACACTCTCACCGATTTGAGTATGGATCCTGTGCTTTCAGTAGTATGGGCCCAATAGTACCTTCCAAACATATCCATACTTTCCTTAGTAATCCTCTTGAATCCTATAGGTCACTTCCTCAAGCCTAAGAAACTAAAAATCATTAAACCACATCATTAACCCACTGAAACATATTCTAGGCTTTCCTAAGTTCCCGACCCTGCCCAGTCCTCAGCTCCTGAAGGACTCCCACCAATGTCAATTAGCTTCCTCATGAATATAGCCACATAAAACAGAGATCAAATAATCATTTGAGTAAAAGACTCAACCTAGAACAGTTGGACTCAAATAAAATATGTAAAATAATTTCAAATCCATCACTCTAAGATTACTTAACCTCTGCCACATGTGTCTTAGTGTATTCACTTAGCATATAATTCACATCATTGAGATTCCCATAAAGCACAAAGCAAGCGACATTCAGAAAAATGGAAGGAAAATAACCTGACCAACATATTCGATTCAAGCCATTCAATCCACTAATCCGAAATCCATACTAGCATGCAATACTAAACCACATACAATCAGACATATAAAGGCATCTCTCCTATCATATAATACTGAGCAGATCATTAGCCCTAATCTAACATGCAATTCTTATAATCATATCATATATCATAAAAAACATTCATTGGTATTTTGGCAACCACTTACTTGAGCTCAGCCGATTGCATGCATCACACCCTTTTCTTCGTTCATAAATTTCCTTTTAATTAAATGTTTATTTATAAAAAAATTTCACCAAACCCTCAGTTTGAGTTCAGACACACCCGAGATTATGCCCGAATCCCTCAAACCAAGGATCTGATACCAACTTGTAATGACCAAAAAATCCAAGGTAAGAGTTTCATTTTTAATATATTAAAAACACTTTAATAAATATGTTCCAAACATTGAAAAGCATTTCAATTAAACAATTATCAGAGTCTAATCCCATAGATCACATTTTACTGTATCCGTTGCGATCGTCCCGAGCCCCTTTCATTTGAAAACTAGAGTACCTAAAACCAAAACTAAAAATCGTAAGCACAAAGCTTAGTGAGTTCCGAAAATACCACATACCATACATATCAAACGATCCATACATGCCACACATAAGCGCGAGCCATACGTATCAATCATATATCATAAACAATAAAGGTACTATGTGCTACACGTTGTCCTGCCATTATGTCACAAGCCATCTCATGGACTTCCTTCCCAGGTCGGGGGTGCAATCCTAGGTCTTACAGACAAGTGCCAAGAGCCACCTCCTCGTCTTCTATGCAAGCATCACAAAGACAACTAGCATACAAACAATACTAGTTAACTAATTACTTGCCAGAGTTCAGACTCCAATCTTGTATAAAGTATGCCAGGAGCCGCCTCCTAGTCTTTCATACATAATGTCAAGGGTTAAGCCCCAGGTCTTCCTACAATACATAAGCCAAATAGGCCGACGTTGGTGCCTTCGACCCATACAACAGTGAGGAAACTAATCTCGATTGCTGAAGCTCATTGCACGAAATCCCGAGTTGTTACCCTGACACATAAGCCTAACACAAAACTCATAACCAAGGCCGATGCCCAAAACTATAAGATCCATAAAAGGCCAACACATAAGCCCAACACAAAACTGAAGCCCAAACATGAAACAAGCCCAAAGGCCCAACGAGCCACAAACATTGGGTGTACGCTCAGCTTACGTTGGGCGTACTCGAGGAATTTGGATCGCGACCAAAGAGGAAGTACACTAGGAGTACCTCTAGTTACGCGGGGTGTAACCGCAAATTCACCAAACTCAGATTTCGACTTAACCCATGAAGTACTTTGCATCCAAACTTCAGGAAACCTCCAAATGAAACTCTTAATGCATAAAGTCAACACCTTTATGCATTTTCATGGCTCAAAAAGATCTAATGACCGACTTACTACAATAATATCCATCTTAATTCATTTAGAACATGCATGGACAATATCTAACCTTAAAGATGGCAACTTTATGGATTTATAACCTTAGAAATCCTAAAAGTAGCAACTCAAAGCTCCTAGACTTGTGTGCAACCACTAGATCTCACTTAAGAGGTCAAAATGGGATCAAAAACCATATAATCAAATATATCAACTTCTAATGATCAAGTTAAGAGCTTTTTACCTTAAATTAGCTGAAAATATAGCAAAGACTTTAGATCCACTAGCCTTTCCTTGAACGATCACCTTGCACCAAGCCAACACTTCTTGAGATATACTAAAATCCTCTAAAAACTCACATACAAGGCACACAACCCTCTTGGATGAAGCTATGACTCGAGATTTAGGGTTTAAGATACTGGAGGATGAAAGAGAGGCACATACATTAGACTTAAGGTTCTTAAATAGTTAGCCAACCCTTAAAATTAGGGTTTTAGGGATCCTTAACATACACTCGGCGGACTTCCTGTACGTTGGGCGTACGTCTCCCAAACCCACGTTTCACTTATCTAGCACTACGTTGGGCATACCCCAGCTTACGTTGGGTGTACTCATGCGAATGCCACCTTGCATGCATGTGACTGCCTTGCCGATTATTTCATCAGGGTGCCAAAATTGTCAATAAGTTCAAAATACCATAACTCCCTCATCCTAGGCCCGTTTCCAACAAACTGTATATCCACGAAAAGGTTGTGAGAATCCCTACGCTCTTAACAACACACTCAAGCCTTAAAACCTCCCGATCAACACTCTAAATTCATAAAAGACCGAGATATAAAATTACAATTATACCCTTGGCATCCAAAGACACCATCGAATACTTGGATCATTTAAACCATGATACCCACATCCGAAATGGGCTAAATACTTCCGTTCTCAAAGCCCTGAGCCTTGCGAAAACTAATGACTAGGCTGAATCCCTAAACAACAGAGCAAATCCGAAACCGAGTGTTACAATTAATCTTTGTTCCCGTGCATCTTCTTTTCCTTTTCATTCTCTTAGTTGAATGAGTTGGAATACCATATTCGTCATTTTATAATAGGTGTTTATCTTGTTATAAAGGAGATTTACATTCCTTAGGTGTTTTCATTAGTTAACCATTTAACCATTGTTCTTTAATAAGTTCCATCATTATCCACAGGTCTTTAAACCTTAATACGTTTTAAGTTTCTTTGACCGTTATTCCATTTGGTCATCATAGTTTCCTTATTATATTGATTTCATTATACATCTTAGTAACCTTGGTGTTTCTTATTCCTTTCTTATGTTTCCTCAAATGACTTCAATTTCATTTGTCATATCTGATGAACTTTCATGTAGTTGATCATAATTAATGGTCTATAATAAATGTTTTTCACTTAATTAGTTAAAAATTTATTATAAACTCGTATTACAATAACAGCCACCTGAAGACCCACATTCATTTGGAGAACAAATTGACAAATATATAGTTGAATAACTTTATAGGGAGAATTTCATATATGTCCCTCTTAAACTTCAAAATATCATATTTGCCCAGCTTAATTTTTCAATATCATATTTACCCTTCATAAACCTTCAAAATATCATATTTGCCCAAATCATTTTTATAATGTTTTTAATATTTTATAATTATTCTTTATATCTTAGAAATATTATAATAATTAAAAATATTAACCATATGGTCCTTACGTCTGTGATAATGGAATGTGAACTTCTAAATTGTTAGAATATCGCCTTCTTGACAAACAAAAAAAAATTCATCTTCAACCCTCTATATAGAATATATATTTTGATTGTATAGTTTTTGTTGTTGTTGATTATTATCATGTTGTAGATAGACATTATTTTAGATATTATCATTGATATTTTGATGTTTAAAATGTACATATACGATATTTTGATATTTAAGAAGGGTATACATGATATTTTGATGTTTAAAAAGGACATATATGATATTTTAAAATTTTATGAAGGGTAAATATGATATTTAGAAATTTTATAAAGGGTAAATATGATATTTAGAAATTAAGTTGGTTAAATATGATATTTTGATGTTTAGGAAGGGCATATATGAAATTCTCCCAAATTTATATGTACAGTATATCACTCACATGATACAATGGTGGAGAGTAACTCTTCTTATTAGAAATATCCGCATTAGCGACATCACCATTAGGGGCTTTTGTAATTGACACAAGAAATTGAATCAATAAAATATATGGAAGGTATTTGTGTATATTGATCTCTTAATCTTTCTTCATGATTTACATGATAGTTACTACCCTTATATATACTAGATGATCACCTTACTGGAATTTGTCTCATGTGAAAATAAGACAATGCATGATCAATTATGTTAGGTTTGGCTAAGTTATATCAAGCTATGTCAAGCTTTATTTTAATATCCCTGTCTAACAGGGACAAGATCTGAACTTCCTGTTTACATGTTGCCTGTATTGGTTGTGTCACCACTAATGACATTGCTGCCAAAGGCTTTAAACCGCAATCTATGTGATCGTTCAAGGAAACACCGTATCCGTTGATACCATATCTTAATCCAACAATATTGCTTAGTGACCGAAAGTGTAGTGTGAGACTTCAAGAATGGCTTAAGTCATTGCCACCACCAAGTGTCCATGTAACACGTCAGGTATTTTTGACCATTAGTTTTGTTCAAATAGCGTATTCTTGTTAACTACCATACTATCTCGCAATTTTTTTGCCGGTTGGCAAGAAAAAAAAAATTAAGAACCAAGTCGCGTTTATCAACTACTACCAACAGGATGTCTTGTTTAACACGATCAAATTACACACACCAAAAAAAAAAAAAAAAAAAAAAAAAATAATAAATAAAAAGAAGATGGTTGCTTTTTGTGTTTGAATTTATAAATAAATTGGTAAGAGATAAAGACATAGTAATTTATAACTAAATTAGTAAGAGATGAAGACATGTATTAGTGCTTGGTATGTTATTTATCGCAGAAAACACTTCATAATATCTTGTGTGTTCACGGTTGCCGTTGTTATTAAGTTAAGAGACAGGGTCGAGAGACTTCACTGATCCCTTTTCATTTATACATGTTCTTTGGAACTACGTCATATATACATATATAGTGTGACTCATGGAAGGAGTACAACACTTAAAAATTCCACTTGATGAGATAAAGTTTGCCACCAACAACTTTAGCGATGAAAATTCCATTGGTAAAGGTGGATATGGAAAGGTCTACGCAGCCAAACTCTCCCTATCCGGGCAGCAGAGAGTCGTTGCTATAAAGCGGTTAAATAAAATCTCCAACCAAGGGGAACCTGAGTTCTTGATGGAGATTCAGTTGCTTTCATGCTATAAACACAAAAACCTCATCTCACTTGTTGGGTTCTGTGACGAAAATAGAGAAAAGATACTTGTTTATGAGTACGCAAAACATGGAAGCCTTGACAAGTATCTATCGACACCTGAACTCTCCTGGACGCAACATCTCCAAATAAGTATTGGCGCGGCGCGTGGTTTTAATTACCTTCATAATGATGTGGGACCCCAACATAGAGTCCTGCATCGGGACATAAAGAGCTCGAACATTCTTCTAGATGAGAATTGGGAAGCAAAAATATCTGATTTTGGATTATCGAAAATAGGCCCTTCAAATGTTGAATGTACTTTTCTTCTCACTAGCCCTTGTGGCACCATTGGTTATGTCGATCCGGAATATGCAAGAACAGGTATTTTAACAAAGGAATCTGACGTGTATTCCTTCGGTGTGGTGCTATTTGAAATCCTGTGCGGTAGGTTAGCGCGTACAAAAAATCAAGATAAGAATTTGCTTCTTCCTACATTGGCTCGAAAGTGTTATGAGCAAAACAGATTAATCGATATCATCCATCCAAATCTCACAACACAAGTGAAGGTAGATTCGTTGGAGATGTTCTCAATGGTTGCATATCAGTGCCTAAAAGAAAATAGAAGTGAACGCCCTACAATGGGTTGGATTGTCGAAAAACTTGAGAAAGCATTGGAACTTCAAGTAAGTTTTACATGAAAAGTCCCTACCTTTATTTTAACTCTATTTCCATTTTCTACACCTTGAACAATTTTATCTTTTTATCCAGGCCGATATCAAAGCAGCGAGACTTATTCGCATTGGAACATGGGGAAGACAAAATGGAGATTCTCAACATCACTGGTCGTTTACACTTGAGCAAGATGATCATTTGTCAAAGATAACAATAGATCATGGAGATGGTATACACTCCCTCATGTTCACTAGTGAATCGAGAGGTGTTTTACACATTTCAAACAAGGTTGGTGGTTGGGCCAGTGGAGACAAACTTTCGGAGGTGAATAAATCTTCACTCAAATCAACTTACTCTTTTGTCTTTCTTTCACATATAAAAGTTATACCGACATGCACAGGTGACATTTGATGGAGACGAGGAAATAATTGGCATTGATGGAACTATCGGTACTCGAGGCAGCGATCAAATAATTTCATCACTTTCTTTTAAGACGAACAAGAAGATCCATGGCCCTTTTGGTCAAGCTGGAGATTATCACTTTTCTGTACCATGGGAAGAAGGAAGATTTGTAGGGTTTCATGGAGTTGCTGGCCCTTACATTGACAGCATTGGTGTTTATGTGAAAGCTTATGAGGAAGTCGTTAAGGTGGGAACTTGGGGAAAGAGTAAAGCTGATAGTCTGCAAAGTGGCTGGAGCTTCCAACTTGAAAGAAATCATCACTTGAAGAAGATAACCATAGATCATGGGGATCATATATATTCTCTCATGTTCACATCGGAACATAGAGGCTTATTACACACGTCTAGATTGGCTGGAGGTTGGAATGGAGGAGAAGGAGGAGAAACACTTACTGAGGTGAGGAGTTCTTAACTCAAAAAGGAACACGTAATCATGAAGTTTTTATTGGGATGGGTGGAAACCCACGGCTGCGGACATAGAAACAGAAACATGAAAAAACAAGGCATTATTTTGATAATTTCATCAAAGACATATTATACACAACTTCTAATGTCACACAAAGGAAAATATTTTTTGAAATCTTGAATAGAATAAAGTAGATGTTAAAAATAAGAAATAAAAAATAAACACCATGTTATTTTAGCAAATGCATTTGACGGATTGCCCATGTAGACAACAACTATCGATTTAGTCTTTTGTGTTCTTTATAATCTTATGCCATATGAAAAATTCACAAACCAGATTCGCTTTTAATGTTATTATAAAAAATATGCTTAGATAGTTTTTCTAAAAACATTGAACAGTTTTTAATTATTTTCTAAATCTAATGCATGTCCTCCTTTTTATCTACTTTTATCACCACATTTTCCTTTATTTCTCAGGTTACATTCGATTGGAATGAGGATATACATGCAATCAATGGAACAATTGGGTTATCAATGGGGCAACAGTATGCCGGTCAGACAGTCATATCATCAATATCATTCGTGACAAACAAAAAAGTACATGGACCGTTTGGTCGTGCAAGAGGGACGCCTTTCACCGTACCATGGGAAGATTGTTCATTTGTCGGATTTTATGGCTTGGCTGGCTGGTATATCAATAGTATTGGTGTCTATTTGAAGGCTACTACCTAATGACTTTAACTTGGTAGCTAACAACCTTTTGTTAGGTGTATGGAACAAAGAACCTTTTGTTAAGAGATTTAATGATTTCTCAAAGAATCTTTTGTTGTTAAGAGATTTAAAGATTTCTAAAACAAACTTACACAACTTTTGTTCATTTGGTTCCTCTATGTCATTCTCTTTGTCTTTTGGTAATTCATTTTATTTGTTTGTCTTTGTCCTAGATATTGCAATCACAAGATTGAAAAACATGCAAAATTGCTTTTCAAAATAAACCATATTACATTAGGTTTACTAAAAGCATGATAAAGCACGGATCCGATCGTTTTAGCAGCAGGGGACATAAGAGTCTTGGTGGGTTTACAGTCATGCAATATATAATTCTTTAACACCTCAATGGCATTCTTTAACAACCAATGTACAACTCTTATTTATGCCACTTAACCTCAATAAGAACTCATTTTGTTAAGAAATAAATTAGTTAGGATTTGTTTGGTTTGGTGAATTTAAAGATAGTTATAAAGTTGGGGTAAATTTGGGGCCAAATTCATTACTACAAAACAGTCCTTTAGTGAACATGAACAATGTCACACACTGATTTACGTTACGTTTTTTTTGGTTATGGTAAAAAAATGCAGCTTTCAAAAATTTAAAGGGTAGAAGACACACATTTGTGCACGTTCTAAAATAATTGACCAATAGAACAAAATTACAAACACAGAGGACACTTGTATTTTAAGCGTATGTCGTGTAGAAGTATGTGGCTTTTTAATTTTTTTTCAATGGTGCATATTCCACAAAAGCACATGGACCATTACCTAGTGAGGGCTTTTAATGAAGCTTTTTTCAAGAACACTCTCTTGGTGCTATTTAGCCTCTACAATAATCAATTTTCTTACTTCACCTCGCCTTGCTGACAACATCAGGTCCGACGACATTAGGCCTACGTCTTCTCTGGTGATGTCAGGCGACATTAGGCATACTTCTTCCCCGGTGATCTTAGGCTCAGTTCTTGTCGGCGACCTCGAGCTCACATGATCACCTCATCAGAGATTGCGACGATTACTCTACAAGCCCTAGTCTGAGTAAGGTATCTTTTGGTTTTTCTCTCTTTCCAATGTTTTTTTTTTTTTTTTTTCATCTATCCTTAACCCCCCCCCCCCCCCCCCCTTCCCCCTATACACACACACAATTTCTAAAACAATAAACTTCCCTAAACTGAAATCATGTTTCTGTTTCTCTCCACACAAGCTCAAGAATTGATTCTTGATTTTTCTTCATCTATAAACACAAATCAGTGTTTGATTCTTTAAGAGCTTTTAGCTGGATTTGAAGTTTTTTAGTAGTTTTGATCCACTTTCTGACTTATATGTTGACTCCACTTGGACATTTTATTTGACCTCCATTAATCTTTTAAGTTGGTCAACTTCTTTCTTCAATCTTTAAAACTCCACTTTCAGCTTTTGTTTGACACCACTTTGAGCTTCTATTTGACGTATATGTGATGGTGCTTGAGTGTAATGTTGTTTCCGTTCTTACTCTCCAACACTCATTGAATCCCTGTATTTTAAGCTCTAAAGAATCTCAAAATACCTACACAAACAATAGTTATCATGTAGTATGATTTATAACTTCTTTAATGATAATGGAAAAAATTAGTACAAAAAAATTTAAAGTTTTTTGGGTACTTCGGTGTTGGTTTTGGTAAACTTCTACACCATTTGTGGGTTTCGTTCCCCACTGCAATGGGCAATTTTTCTAGTTTCCACAATTTTGTATTCAAAGTTAACTCATCCTCCCTCCTTACTTTCACCAACTTTCAATCTACTTTGTTTTATAGGAAAATTGCAATTAATACTACAAAATAACATTAAGCTACTAAAATCATTTTTTACCAATTATTACAACCGATTTTAAACTTGGTATATGTAAATACAACCATTATAAGTAGGAATAAAAAAACTAATCAATTTCAAGATCAAGTCGATTCAAGAACCATTCATGTGTGTGTTACATTTTTTATGCATGTTTGTATATGTGTATCTGTTGTGTGTGTTGGATGTGTATGTGTTGCATGTGCATGTGATGTCAGTTGTATGTGTTGCATGTACCTTTGTTGCATGTACGTCTGTCTGTTTGTGTACGTCACTGTTTAATTAAAGGAAGAATAAGAAACTAGCTTTACATACTAGCACAAGTTTTTATAACTATTTTCATGTCGTGAGTTGATGATTTGGCGTTTGAGATCGTAATTTTCAAAAATGCCCTCCATTTGAGGGTCAATTGGATCACTTGTGTGTTGATTTAGTCTCATAACATTTCCATTATCATGCTCCCCTGATCAATTAGTTTAAATGAGACTTTTATTATATGAAAAGAAAGGTAAAAGGATAAATGAGCCCATTGATATAATGGGAATTACAATCAAACAAATTATGGCGTCTCTAGTGTCGAGTCCAAAATTTTTAGAAAAAACATGAACACCAAGTTGAGCACACTAAAGTTTAAAAATTAATTAGTATTTGGTGAAACTAATTAAATGATAAAGATACTACTAGAAAATAGCCCTTTAGTCACATGTGAACCATGACACACGGTTGTTTTTTGATACGCAAAAAAGATTATCAACTCTTTAAAAATTTGAAGGGTTCAGGACATGGATTTTCTTTTGTCCTAAAATAGTGTCACAAAAAAAAGAAAAAAAAACAAGATGGAGTGCATCTATCATAAAACGTGTGTCATGTAAGGATGTCATTTTATAAATTTTATCATAAAACGTGTGTCGTGTAAGGATATCGTTTTATAAATTTTTAATGAAATCCTCGTTCTCCATCCTTTAATAGCTAAGGGGGGGAAATGAAATCCGCAAAAATAGAAAACCCCGCCTTGTTTCCATCGATAGAAACTCTCGTAAAATCTTTCCCCTTTTTTTCTTTTTGATGTTGATGTTGATCAAACTGATGCGTCTCCTCCTTTTCTTCCTTCCTCTTTCTGATGTGAAATCCTCAACCGAAGAAGCCCTAATAGCATTGTGCGGCTGTCAATGTTTCTCACGAAATTTCGTGTTTCCGGAGCTCTGCAGCCATAGTATTAACTTCGGTCTTCCTATGAACACAACAGATATTAGCGTTTATGGCTTTAGGGCTTATATATGAAGTGAAAGTTAACCATCATTTCCACATAGCATCAAGTTCGCAGGTAGTTTGTATGTTTATATAATGTATCAAGGTAGTTTCTTATATCTTTAACATTCCTCTTAATCTCTGTAATTGTTATTACTTTATTTTGACATTTTTTTAATATATTTTGGGTTCTTAGCGTGAAAAAACCAATGTTATTACTCTATTTTGACATTGTTTTTACTCTGATGTAACTATATACTTTCCTCTTTACACTGTTGAGAATCTTATTCGAGTAACATTTTTCTTCATTTTAAAAACTAAGGGGTTTTGGTGGGATCAGTTACTACTGCTAAATATCGAACGACTGGTAGCCCTGGTGGGTTTACCTGTGTTTATTTTTAATTATATTAGCTCTTCATAATGTTCTTCTTGACACTTTGCTTTTCTATCAATTTATCTTTCAATTTTAACTGATTTCAAATCTTAGGCATACTTGTTAGTAAAATTTTGACTTTTGAGTGCAATATTATGTTTTCTTACGATTTCTTACGCCAAATTTGATTTTGATACCTAATAATCAAATCCTTTTAAGTGCTAATAATCAAATTAAATTTTCATTTATTTTCACTTTTTTTTTTGAAGTGTAAGAATATTTACTTACAGAACACCAGTGATGTATTATAGTTCGATGCATATTTCAAATATATAAAGCAGCTTATATGCAAATAAGAAAATGGGTTTTTTGATTTACAAATGGGTGTGTGATGATCATTTGTTATAGTCCTACTGTGTAATAAACTGATGCTACAACCATTGCACTACGGCATTTAAAATACAAAAACTACAATCTAATCATTTAAGTTAAAATTCCAGGCATTTGGTGATAGATGACCTTATACAAAGTGCAATAGAGAAAAAAAATGGAAGAAACTAGAAACGTGGAATTAAAAGATGTAAGATCTGCCTTCAAATACATTCTTCTTCTTCTTCCTTTTTTTTTGTTTATTTGGTTGTCGTCTTTTTCTTGAGGGAGTAATATAATTGTAGCGTCCCGAAAACAATAATAAAATTTTTCATTTTTAAGTCTATTAAATCTTTCATTCATTGTTCAATATCAACACCAATTCATAATGTTCAACACAATAGAGTACATTTTTCAAAATATGGAAAACATGAGGGTAGGATGTTGTGTCATCACGTCGGGTTCTTCCCTTTCGAACCAGAAAGTACCTGAAACCATAAACATAATATGTAAGCGTAAAGCTTACTGAGTTCCTCAAACTACCACATATCAAAACATACATGTGTTATGGGATATCCCCACGGTATTTCCTTGCAATGCCGAAGGCCAAATTCCGGTCTTACATACAAGTGCCATGGGCTACCTCCATAGTCTTTCCTTGCAATGTTGAGGGCCAAATACTAGTCTTACATACAAGTGCCAATGGCCAGATCCTAGTCTTTCATACAACTACCAATGGCCAGATCCTGGTCTTTCATGTAAGTATTACAGAGACAACTAGCATTCCACATAACAAGTAATGGGTTGGCATTACTGCCTTCGACCCATAGATCAAGTGAGAAAACGCACCTCACAGGCAGATAAGCAAACTGCATAGAACGTCGCTCCGAGATGAACCCTACCAGTCACCTTAATGAATTAAATGACACACTCTCAACATACAAATCAAAATACCTAAAACACCCCTAGGTTAAACCTTAGTAAAAATCTAGGTCAATGTCAACCGAGTCAACCAAGTTGACTCAATGAGTACGTTGGGCAAACACAAAATAGATATGAGGTGTAATACATGGTTAACCAAAGTCGGGGAGCTGACCACGTACACGTAATGTATGCAATTTCTCTGAACTTTAACCATTAAGTGCTTAATTCGTAAGCACTTACATCCAAAATCTAGATCTAGACCCTAAAAACTGATTTTAACCATAAAGTTTCCAACTTTATGGTTTTGCATGGCTATTAAGACCTTTATAGCAGAAACCCTAACTTCTTGACCCATTAAGACTACTTAGCCCATTCATGGGAAGAAAGCAATGTCCAAGATCTCATTTATGACATAACACACCCTAAAACATCTATAGGGACAACTCAAATGTCTTGGAATATTCCATACTCACAAAGATCAAGGATGGGACAAAAAGGTGCCAACTTTAACCTAAAACTAGACCCAAATGAAATACTCATCAAGGATGGAGCTTTATACCTCCAAAGGATGCACAAAGGGAAGTAGTTGTTGGATCCATGGCCTTGAGTGAAACACCACAAACTCAAGGTTCTTCTTTCTTCTCCAAAAACTCCAAAATGACACCAAAAAGGCACTCACACACTTTAGGGTTTCGAAATGAGGAATGGGGATGAAGATCAGAGGGTAAATGAGGCCATAAAGGTTCTTAAATACGATCCAAACCCTAAAATTAGGGTTTGCACACTGGCTATGTATGCCTAGCATATGCACACGAGGTCAAAAAATTACAGAAATGCCATTGTGCAACGCCTGTTTTCTGGTATGTATTTAAAATCATAATTTATTCACTTTCATATAGGAACTCGACGAGTTGGGAGCCCCAGACTCCTCGAGTAGGAATAGTTTAGGACGCGAGTTAAAAACCTACTTGATGAGTTGAGAGGTCTCAACTCGGTGAGTAGGCTGCTAGAAATGAAACCATACTTTTCAGGATTTTTTTACCCTATTTAAAGGCCATAATGTTTCATTGTGGCCTCCCTCATCATCCCCTCAGTCCAGAGAATACCCTAATTGGTGGTGCAAAGTTGAAATTGGTATAAAGTCGATAGCTTAACTATTTTTTTGAGTGTGTGTGAGCCTAAAGAGTGTTCTTTGGTGCTTTTCTTGAAGAAGTGTGAAATTGGTGGTGCAAAGTTGAAGGAAGAAGCTT